TCATGATCAAACATAATAGACATTTGCTGCCTGTTATATTTAACAATATATGTTTGAATAATGATCTGTCCCAATACACTACATTACATATATATATATATATATATATATATATATATATATATATATATATGTGTGTGTGTGTGTGTCAATGTCAAAATTGATGTTATCAAGAATAAAAAATGGAATATAAAACTCAATTTTCAGAAAAATAGGTTAAATACAATAAATTTGACAGGCAAATTATGCAAAATAGGAAAAGACAAAATTATTCATACAGTATGAAAAATAGGAAAAATTGAACAATTATCACAATACCATGGCCTCTCATCTTTATAACTTGCTGCAATTGTTTTCTAAAGTTTTTGATGAGATTTGAACAAGTCTTTTCTAGGATTTTCTTCCATTCTTAGAAAAATTAAACTGAGCAACTATGTGACATGGTTTGTGAAGAGGGGTTCATTGTGGTTAGTTTCCATACAAGTCTTTTCTATTTAAACAACATTGTATTGTGTGAGTACTTACACTGATATCAATTGTATCCAAACTTTTGACAATGTCTTTCAAAAAAAACTCTTGGGTTTATATTAACCTCACAACAGTTTTTGTGCAGATCTCGATGACAATTTGGGTTTTCTTCCATGCCCAGGCAAATTCTCTGTCATGCCAAACTGTTCAAACTTCTTTATAACAGACTGTAATGTAGATCTAGGAATAGCTAACCGGTTTGAAGTAGCACTGTAACTATTTCCTCAATCTGTAGAAGTAAATAAGTCTCTCTCAAGTTAACACTAAGCTCCTTTGTCTTCCCCATCATGTTGTTAACATAAGAATGACAATGGTGATACTCTATGTGATGTTCTTTGCTGGAATTATCATAAATATTCTACTGAATGAAGTCTAGAAAGCTTCACTGATAAAAAAAATTATATAAATTACTTATGCTTACATGAATCAATCAATTTAAAACAATATTTTCTACTATACAAATAATTTTATCTTTTCCTATTTTGCATAATTTGCCTGTCAAATTTGATGCATTTAACCTATTGTTGCTATTGAAAATTGAGTTTTATATTCCCTTTTTTGTTCTTAATATAAAAAGCATATGGGCATTAGATTCTGAGAAATAGAAAAAAATATTAAAAATTGATGGGTGCACAAATAATTTTGTTGTTGACTGTAAGAGAAAGAAGGCCAATACCAAAATCAATAGTACAAAAAACAGAGACAATGAAGGTGGCAGAAAGAGATATTAAACATACATCTTTTTGGCCTAATTTAATTATGAAGCTGCAATGTAGACTTAAATGTTTAAGATGAACAGAGTATTAAATATATATATAAAAAAAAATAAAAAAATCAGTCAATGAACTTTTTCTTACCTAATGATGGCTGCCATTACATTGTCATTGTTGAGTATGACCATCCCAAGATATCATTACAAAAATCAACTGTGACTTACAATATCAAGCAATTCCTATGGATAAAATTCTTTGAGAAAAACATTGCATTTGGCTGATCAGCATGTACCCAAAAAAGAAAAACCAGTCAACTTCATTGGATGTTGTCAAGCGACAGGTAATACATCAGTTTTCCTACTTCTAGTTAGATACCTTAATGAAGGATAAGGGACCCAACATTGTCAGTGAGCTTGGTAGATAATAACTACATCAATTCCTACCCCAGTTCTAATTTTAAACACATTTGTATCAAATGGTTGTACTTTAACCTTTACCATGCTAATTTCTTTCTAGAATTGTTCCCCCTGCAGCTGCATTTTTTTTTTATTTTTTTTTTTTGGGGGCACAAAAACAAGCACCGACTGTTTTAAAATTTGCCATAACTTTTTTTTTATTCTGTGTAGAGATTTTATTTTTTTTGTATACCGATAAAAGAATGAATGAGTAATATTTTGATGTAACGCATTATGTTTTGCATGCGTGTTTTGATGTTGTAAACAAAAAAGTTGAAACACAAAAGAAAAAAAAAACCAAATACGTTAACAAATACATTAAAAAATTTAACATACTTTAACTTTTATTAAACCTTGTGGAGTTCTGGGGTGCAATAAGAAGCAAAATGGCTAAGAAGGCTTTCATTTCATCAAAAGTAATGTGCTTTCTCGTGTGTACAAATGAGAAGACACCACATTTGTTTGGTCTTTCTTTCACCTGGCTAGCATATTTATTTGTCAATGAGACAAAGTTATTTTGTTGTTTATAAATAGACAAAATAATTCACCTCCAGAAAAGCTATCAGGTATATTGATGATCACTATTAGCTTCAATTAAAATAAGCCAGCCATAAATTATAGTAGCCACTAGTGGTCATCAATGTTTCCCTCCATGTAGTGACATCTTTGATCACTTTACTGTCAATCTCCACTTGAGTAAAGCCTTCAAAATCATCAACAGAGTCCGAATCAAAGAAAAACTCCTGGACAAAAGCTTCATTTACGTGAGTTTAACATAAGTTACACCTAGTGTAGGGTCTAGAAGAATTCAAAATAGTGGCAGAAAACATAAGTTTAGCCTTGTTCCAAAGCAATAGTAGGTGATTTCCAGCTTAAAATGGCAGAAATAACAGTTAACAAGTGTTTATTTATAGCAACCATCTCAAGGCAACAGAATGTGGCTACAGCTGCAAAGGAAGAGGATTCTATGGTGACAATTCTCACCTTCAGTACAATAATGGTTAAGATACCAAGAATGTGTCCAACTTATAAAATTACAGTCACTTCAAAGTTTTCAAAATGTTACTTTGGGTGAGATAAAAAATTGTAAAAGATTTCATACATATTAATCTGTTCAAATACTGAAAAATATTTAAAAAAAAAAAAAAAAAAAAATCCAGGAATTTTGGAGGACGAAAAGCATTACTAAAGTTTTATTGAAATTAATACAGACATTTTGAAAGGTGAAGCATGCTCAGAATCTTAAAGTCGCAGATGTGTGACAAAACTTCATAAAAATAGATTAGTGATTTGGATACTAAGTTTTCATGTAAGTTCTAATCTTTTCCATGATCTATTTAGCAAATTGCAAAAATTATGTCTCAGTCATGAACAACACATGGCAGATCTTAGTCCTCAGAAAGTGATTAGTATTTTGGGTCATTTATCAATGCCAAGGCAACACACATGTAAGAGAAAGAGTGAAAATAAAATGAGTTTTCAATAAATATTTTGCCTGAATACTTTCTATAAGAAATTTAAATAAGGATTAACTTATGAAGAAAGAAATATGAAAAATGCTTAAAATAGAGAAAAAATCTAATTTAATATTTTGTTATTATAAATTGCCTAAATGATAACAATATATGCTAATAATATGTGTTTGTACAGCTTTAAAAAAGTAAATTATATCATCATACTAAAAATTAGTTAGAGCATTTAAGTACTGTTTTGAAGGAAAACAAGCCCAATTTGAGAGATCACAAAGGTATGGTGGTATATTATAATATATAGCCCCATACAACAAAGATAACATCTGAAAACCTCAATTTTTTACCAGTTTTATTTTTCAGATCTTACTTCACTTGACCACTACTTTTTTTTTTTTTTTTTTTTTAATAATTTATTTATTATAGTTTACAAAATAATCTTGGCAGATTCTTAAAATACGTTAATAGGTTTGATAGGATAAACTTAAAAAACTGGTATTAAAAACTGACTGGAAGGAAATTACTAATGATGATGGAACTTGGATTAATGAAGAAATCGTGCTTAAATGCAAATTTTTTCAAATTATTTTTTTCCAATCTTAAATTCAGATATTTTATCTATTCTTGAACACTTGAGCATCATCTACAGTTGATCAATTTTTTTTCATTTTAACTTTTAATAAATATTGAACTGTAAAAAACAGAAAAAAAATCCTTTTCAAATTTTGTATTTTTCCATCTTTTATTACACAATATGGGAAAAGATTACAAAAACACAGTCACAAACGACACTGATCATGAAATGAAAGAACTAAATTAACCAAAATTGTTTTTAATTTCTTAAATTTCCATAAACAGTTTAGTTGTTCAAACATTGAAACATTGACACCACCCCACCTCCTGCCCTCAGTTTATAATGAAATTCACATTGTCAGTGTCATCTTATAAAAGATCACTTCCTGCCAAGGCAGTTGCCACTTATCTGCTTTAATCAGCTTAATATTTGTGAGGGTTGTATGGGTTTTTGTATTCCAACTGCTAATCCCTCCTCTTAATCTCAGTTCAGGTGGTACTATCTCTTCTGTTTGCAATTTTTTCAAAAATGGGTTAATTTATCAAAATATGACAGGTTCAGTCACTGTTTGGAATAAATTTTCAGTGAAAAAAAAAAAAAATCAAATATTTAAAAAAAAAATTCAGATTTTTAAATTTGAAGCTATTTATCTGAGTCTAAAAGTCTAATATTTAAATGTATTGAAGATAAAAATTAATTTAAAAAATTGTTACTAAGTAACAAACTATTAATGCATTGTATTAATTTCACACTTCCTACCAGCCAAGCATTAAATAAGCCTCAGACAATATAGTTAACACACCAGTATTATACCCCACCAAGCTAGTCACAATCATGGCATCATTTTGTATTATAACCAAAATTAGAGAAATTTTTTAAAAGTAGAAACATTCGTTAGATGAAGTTGCAGGAAAGTTGTCTACCTGGGAGGCTGCTGTTAGTGCAGCAAGAATTTAGCAATGAAAATTAATTGCCAGATAATTTGCCATTTCCAGAAAGACTGGAAAATTTTATAAAAGCAGCCATTTGGTCACTGCAGTCATTCTACCAATGAAACAGGAGCTGGTCAATCAATATGGCTACCTGAAAAATAGGTGCTTCTTGCCATTTGTTTTTTTGTTTTTTTTTAGTTTTTTGGGGGGGTTTGGGGAGGGATGAAAACATTTGGAGGCATTTGAAATTTTCAATTGTTGTACAATAATTTTTTTTTCTTTTTAATCCTAAAGAAGAACACAATATGTTAATAGCACTGTTTACTCACTTTTCTTGGAGATGTCATGGTTTTCTTCTCTTCTCTAAGAGGCGGAGGGCGAGAGGGTGGTGCACTACTGCTGGATTTGGACCTACTCTGAAATAGTAAAAATACATAGCATTAGCAAAAAAATTGGTGATGATTCTCTAAGGTATCTATAATTTAAGAATAGAACATTAAATAACTTATAAATATTTAATAATACATGACAAATGAAATCATTAGTCAGTTTTAAAAGGTTAAATTTGTTCATTTAAAATCCTATCCTTAATTTTCAAGACCTTCACAAAAGGTTATAAAATCTGCTTATTTTAGATATATTGCAAAGCTTGGTATTTGGATGAAACAGCAAAGATGTCTGTTGATTAAATACTGGCTGTAACAAATATAGTTTAACATTGCTCACACCCCAAACTATGATAATGAACACCCTAAAGTTTGGTTTTTCACTTTAACTACAATTAATAATAGATCTATGGCTAATATGGTAATTTGTGATAGTATAATCAATATGTGTTGGGAATTTGTAGCAAGGCCTACATACATTAAAACTTCTGTTAGGAAGGTTCTACAGAAATACAGAAACACTGGATAGAGACACAAGCAATCTAATAGACAGATAATCCCACTTCAAGATTCACTGAAATCAATGAATTAAATAAAAATAAAAGATATAACAATTCAGTGTTACTAAATCAAGTCCAAAGTTGTTTAAAAATAAATAAATAACCAATAAAAAATTACTTCACTTGAAATACTATCGACCCCCCCTCCCCAGGTGAATTTGAAGCAATATGGATAAGAATTTGTTTGTTACATAAGCTCACTTGACAACTAAAATATCTTGTGCACCTCAAGATCAAAAATAATGAAACAGAAGAATCAGCACTTGCATATTTAAGTGAGATATTCTGGATTAAATAATTTAACATGAATAATTTTAGCAACATTCACTTCTTGAAGAAAACTTGGTGAAACCAGTGCTACTGAGCTCTTAATGCATCTATGTTAATGTGTTTTATATATGTAAAATTGGGGTTATTAAATGTCCAAATCATTGGTGGATGATAAACCAATTTCCAATAGTAATTTTAATTAAAAATTTTTAAAAAAAATTAAGTAAATTTACTTGAAATATTCTCATTGACTAAATTTATTCCATAAATTAACCAGGCAAAAGTTGTTGTCATTTAAGAGCAATAAAATACAAATTATTTTAGGGCATTAAAATTCTATTAAATTTTAATAAACCCTATTTCAAGACATATTTGCATGATATAAAGTATCATGACTTTCACTATTGATCCCAGGTGAGAGCCTTTAATGAATTAAAAGATCAGACATGCTCATCAAATTGTTCAGTTCTAAATCATTGCAATATTTGTATCATGTGAACAAAAAATGTTGAGTTTTCAAAATGTATATTTAAGAAGAGAAAAAAATATCAAGTTTACTTATTTAATGTAAGTCCAAGACATGAAATTTAATAACTGACAAGTGATATATCATCAAGAATTTAATATTAAACCTATGGAAATAATTAAACGTCACACTTTTGCCTTTTGTAATTGTATCAGTACTTTATCAAATAGCATATTTGTAGATGTTTTTACAAAATACAATAAACAGCTGCTTAGTAAAGAATTTGTATTTTCTTTTCAAATACAAACTATAAATTTCTGACTACTAACTGAATAATTTACCCAGTGACAGTTCTAATACAAAGCAGAAATTTACAAGTAATTCATGTCCAGAAATAGACAAATCAAGAAGCTTATGCTTAGGAACATGATTTGATAGATATCATATCTAAAATGTCAGATCTCCAGTCAATAACACGTGTAGCATTTGCAAAGTGAATGGCATTCCAAGACAAGATAAAAATAAGAATAGCAACTAAATTTAAATCAAATGTCTTTGTGCCATTTACAGGAAAACAACAAAGGAACTCTTCAACATGTCAAGAAGGTTAACCAAGTCATGTGGACATTTTGTCCGTCATTGCAAAGTCACTTAGTAAATCAGAAGCTAAAAATATTCCAGTTCCTTAACCTTGTGTTTTGTATCTGAAATAAAGTGTATTACATTGAACATTGTATAGTTGATTATACAGTGTATTATTATTATTATTAGTGATATTAAATTAATTTTGTGCATGTATGTACCATAAGATGACACAAACAGTAAGAGAAATTTTAATAAAATTAAGTTTTTTAAAGGCTAAATAGGATTTGGTTTTAACACATCTAGTTTGTTTGGGAGGGATTTTTTTTCCTTGAAAAGTTATGGAAGGTTCACTATAGTGAACAAAATCAAATTTCATTTATAGTTTTTTATGAAGATATAAAATCATGCAATATTTCTTAAAGATTTATTGCTACTAAAATTTTTACTCTTATATTAATTGATATCGTTTTAAACAACCCAATACTGCAAAATTTTCTAAAAGAAAAATTAAACATTTTAGTTTGATTTGGGGCTTCAAAAGAATGTACTATTTCAAACATTTCTTTAACAAGGACATTTTTATTTGATACTTTGGTGATTAGAATTTTTGCAAGAGAGTACAAAAAACAGTTTAAATAATGAAATAAACAACATTACATTTACTGGTGAGAATTAATGAAATGCAAAAGAAATTCATCACCATCTGATTTAATTTAATGTAAGTTTAAAAGTGCATCAAACAAAGAATTTCTTAGAAAAATGTTTATGCATAGATTTTTTTTATACTTGGCCTAGATTGGCTTTCCAGATAAGTAACATATTCCAAGTTTCTTTCATTTGCAAATATGAGTGAAAGTTAAAAAAAAAAAAAAAAAAAAACAACAATTCTTTGTAAGAGCAAAATCTTTCACGGAAAAGTTACTGCATGGAAATAGGAATCACAAGATACAAGAATCAATTTTTCAGAACAAGTTAAATGCATAGTAAAAAGAAAACATTTCAGTCATTTGTCATGGCTGTAATTCTTTTAATTACTAAATCTTCAAAGCAAATAAAAAGAAATGACACCAGATTAGTAGACATTTATTATAAGATTACTCAAATATCTCACTATCAATAATAATATTACTCAAAGAAAACATCTATTAGATAATATTATTAATATTACTTAGCAATAGATGGCTCAAAGGAAATATGTTTAATTAGCAGGTTAAAACAAAATAATTTGCTTCATTATATACAACTCACTTGAGAAAAAATATATTATTTACAAATAACTTTAATCTTGTTGCAGTGGCCAGCAGCAGAGCTAACATGACAGTTGAGAAAAAGTAAGGTTGGTGATGATGGAAGCAAAAAGCAGAAATGAAAAGAAGCTGGGAGTGTTGCATGAACAGGACTGGAATGAGGAGATCTTACATTTCATTAGAAGTAAACTGTAGACAGTCAATAGAATAGAAGCAGTTGATGTAATCAGCAAGAGTCATAGGGTTAAGGTCTGTGGATAAAGCATAGCCAGAATTGCAGTTTATGATATGGTGAGGCACAGATACCTGGTGAATGGTTATACAGAAAAGAAATCCCTCGGACTGGTACTGTGTGGCCTTGAGAAAAAAGTCTTGCTGGAATGAAGGGCTCTATCAGACATCAACAGAGTCACTGGTTGAAGTCACAGTTGGAATTTCAATTTGAGATTTAGTGAAGCAGGCATATCTTATGAATGGTTGTGCAGAATAGGGAATTCTACAGACTGAACAAATGGTTTACTTGTAAGAACAATGACGAGGTCTTGTATTGATTTACCTTAAGGAAGATGAAACTGGAAAAACTACATGAAACTATTCATTTTCAGTTTTCATTCTTTTTTCATTTTATATTACCTGTTGTTTATTTTTCATGATGGAACAACAAAACCAGAGCTATTTCTCTCGCTAAGTGTGGACTTTAGTGGCTGACCAGTTGTTGAATTTACCTTTGTTTTTGGTTTATTAACTCATTAAAAAGGAACAGTTCTCGGTACCCCTCCACTGAAAAACTATTTTTATTTTCCCATCTCCCACTTATGTTTTTCACTTAGATTATTTTATCTTTTTGCCTAATTCCAATAGAAAGTTGCTGCTGGGTTCATCTGTGAGTTTGTCAGGTGGTATTTTGATATGATGACCCAGCTCTTCTAGTGGTATGAAGGTAAGGTGGTTGTGAAAGTGGAAGTAGCAGCAAGCTACAATATATTAAACATGTTTAATGGGATAAGATAAAATTCTGAAGACAAAATTTAAAAAGGGGAAAATGTTAATTTGAGATTCTTCTAAGAGAAAAAGATAAATAAAAAGAAAGTCAATTACGTCAACAAATGACACGCTTATATAAAAAAAAACAAAAACAAACATCAAAATATTGACTAATAAGGATTTTAAAAAGTTATAAAATCGTACAAGGGAATAAATTAAGAGAGATACTTATAAAATGTAGAGGGCCGGGGAAAGGGAAAATAAAAGGTTAGGGGAGAAAACTAGTTTTCATTCAGGGATGTTTACCATAACAGAATTAGCAAAATTCAATCATTAAGAATTAACTTAACTCTTGAAGTATTCAAAAGCACCAAGGGAAACCTTCCAATTCGTCTGCTCTTTGTTAGAAGAGATTCATATCAACCTAAACTAAATCCAACTTCTTCAACATTTATACAACTTGGGCTTGTCAGACAGCAATCTATTGTTTTAAAGAATAGGCAAGCATCTGGACACGTCTGAGTATGTAAAAGCAATATCAAATAGTCAGGGTGGACAACAGAGGATCTGACACAATACATAAGCTACACCACTTGCATAAATATAAAGAAACCTTTGACCAGATTCCAGACATTATTTAGCATGAGGAATTGCAGTAAACAAATACTTATATAATTTGTTCAAAATATCACTTACAGGTTGGTTAGACCTTTCTATAATGTTTCATTTTTACATGCTTTTGAAATTGAATGTCTTTACTAACTAATAAATAAAATACCTTCTAAGGGGATATGAGTTTGCATATCTCCAAGCTGCTTAGCATATATATATATATATATACACAAGATATTTATTAATGAGTTGGGATCAAATATGGATCAGAATCCAAAAGAATGATAAGATAAAGAACAAACAGGAAATATTTATCAATCTAACATGTTTCACTTTTATTAAAGTGAAATCAGAGAATGAAATATGGAGAAAAAAAAGAAATTCTGGTATTTTTACTTTTGTGTTGTTTGATTTTCATTGCTTAATCAGGTTTCACATGCATTTGACTTATTAAACAAATATTAGTATAAATTGAAAAGCCACAAATTATATTAACGTTTGTTTAACAAGTCAAATGCACATAAAACCTGATTAACCAATGAAAATCAAACATTAAGATGTACTAAAAGATAAAATCAGGTAAAGAATTATTACTCAATTTGTAAAATCAATGTCAGATAATGAGCATTATATATATATATATATATATATATATATATAGCTAACCTAAACTATTAATGGATCAAGTGTACATTAAAAAAAAGAATTAAATGCTGAATGTTTTATACAGACAAATCTTATTCATGGAGGAAGAAAAAACAACTTATATCTGCTCTACTGCAATTTATAAGTTATTAAATGAGAATAATAGTTTGTGTCAAAATTGCAGTCACATAAGCAGGTTTTTGCTTATGGACTCAACAGGTGTTAATACCTTAAAAATATGTTCATTCAACCACACAAGATCAATGATAGGTATGTTGCCTCCTCCTCAGCATCAAGAAAGAGGTGCTAAATTTGGTTCATTCATATTGGTTTGGTATTAAGTTAAATATTCATAGCTCATCAGATAAAATTCTTTAGTTATCTAAATAAATATTTAAACAAGCCATACTAATGTATTCAGAAAGAGAAAGAAGGTCAACAAATTGAGAAAACTTGGCATATAAATTAAATTTTATTTCACTAAAATTAAGTCTGTTCAGTTTTATAAACATGATACTCATGTTACATATAAAGTATTATTAACTAATACAAAATGCCATGATGAATACACATTGTATCAGAGTGTTCAGAGAGAAAGGCAAGGGGAAAATTCAAAACCTAAGGAGCAAGCAGCTCTAATACAAAGAAAACAATTCAGTTTATGAGAAAAAGTGGCATGTGACTGGGCATGGCTAAAGGAATTCTTAACAAGCCTAAGCATGAATACAAATGTGAAAAAAAATACAATGGATCATTAAGGGACAAAACTCGTGTCTTAATAGACACAGGTGGAAAAAATGACTTGTAATATAGAAACAAACATTTTAAAAGATTCAATAAATGTACAATAAGCATAAATTTGTCAGTTTAAGATTTGGTTTTGATTAATTTAGCAAACCAGTGAGACAAAAAAGATATTTTTTTAAAGTAATTCATATGTTCAAAACTGCTTGGTTGACAAAAAAGAAAAAAAAATGCTTACTTCAGTATTTCGAGCAGATACTCCAGGTTCGTTCTCATCAGCAAAAAGATCATTATAATGAAGAATGAACTTGTGCACAATATTATTGGTGGTAGATTGATCCTTGAGACCAGTCAAATCAGATGCACACCTACAATAAAAACATAAAACATTAAAATATTTGTACTTAATAGAATAATGAGGAAAAACCATAATCACTTTGAGAGTGCCAGGTTTTGTATGTAGCCATAAATTTATTAAAATATAAATTTAAGAAAGTAAAGTTTTTGCGAGAGAAATTTCAAGCTACATTTCTTTTATTGCTGGATCTTCATTCTTCACGATTAATTATTCCTGTTAATACAAAACACATAAGGTTTATTATCCAATATGCTTACTGTTTAACCTACTGAATACAATAATGTGTAAAGAAGATCTTAGTGTGTGTGAGATAGGGAGAGAGAGATTGTTCAATACAGATTCACCTGCATAGCAATATAAAAATCATGTTTAAAATAAAAATATTAAGAATTTGCATGCGACTCAAGTTTCGCCATTAAGCTCATCAGGCACTGCAATATATATAATTTTTTATTTGAATATTGGTACACATTTCAAGACTACTATTCCCGTCATCAACCAAAGATTTACACTGATATAATTTTGAAGTTAAAATACAAGTAGTACAATACAGACTCCTAATAAATAATCAAAAATTCTTGAAAAAAAAAAAAAAAAAAACAAACATATTGTGCAAATCTCTACTTGTTTTTCACTTTTCTTTGTAAGAATTTTGAAATATTGAATTAATTCAGAATTCTTATAAAAGAGAAAAAGTAGGGGTTTGCACAATATATGGTTGTTTTTATTTTCTCTAAGAATTTTTAATTATTGTAGTTTCCAAATCTGTATTATACTTCTGTATTTGAACTTGTATATAAACTAAATAAAAAAGAAATTACCCATTTCAAAGCTTTTTGTAAAAACAGAACAAAAAAAAAAAAAAAAAAACAAATATTCTGAAAAATGGCTCAAAAACCATTCCCAATCAGTTAATCAACCTTGATTTATATTTTATCATCAGATTTATTTTAAACATTCTTTGCTAATCTATGTCTCCCTCCCTCACCCTAAAAAAAGAAAACATGATTAGTATAGATTAGGTTGATTAGAAAATGTGACAAGAAAAGCAGTGATGATGTTTTGGCAAAGGTGAGACAACATGAGGAAGATCAGGAGAGAAAGGTGAACAAGCATGTCTCAGTGACATAGCCAAGGTGAAGGATAAATAGTTTTACCTCCACCCACCAGCAACAAGAGGAAAGTTATCTTGACCTTATTTGTTAATAATAATAAAAAAAAATTCTTTGCCTATTCACAAAGCTATATATATATATATATATATATATATATATTATATTATATAACATACAATTACTACTCAGCAAAACGCCAGCATTTACACACTTAATGACAGTTTAACTTGAGACCTGGTTTTGGAACAAAACTACATGTCTCGTGTGCAATTAGAGATTCTTATTATTTGTGAGACTTGAGGTTGATTTTGATATGTTCTCAATAGTGCTACCTTCAATGATAAATGCTTATTTAAACCAAAACAGGCTTCAGGATGTAAAATCAGCACAAAATATTCACTTTGGTTGATATACAGGGTGCGATGGATAAATTGTCGTCTAAATTACACAAACATGAAAATTACACTAATATCTCATCTTAACAGATATATTTACCAAAATTACACAAAAAATATCTTGAAATACTAAAGAATAAATCTATTCAATAAAATCGCCATTGGCTTCAACCATTGCCTCCAGACAACCTCGGAATCTTCTGCAACTCTTCTGGATGGTCTCCTTGTTTAAGTTGGTGAATGCTGCCATACTCTTTGCCTTCAATTCATCTTTCGTGTTGCAAAGAGTTTTGTTGGTCTCTCCACACATAATAATCAAGGGGCTTTCAGTCTGAGAAATTAGGTGGCCAGATGTAAGGGGTGATGTGGTTGCAGAAATTGTCTGACAGCTATGACTAGGTTCTCCTGCTTGTGTGGCATAGTGCAGAGTCCTGTTGCCAGACATAAGGTCTTCCAAGCAGCCACTCTCTTGACCCAGGACACCACTACCTCCTCAAGGCATTTGATGTAGGCCTCCATGTTGAGTCTGAGCCCCTCACTAACATTCGGGATTTCTTTTATTATCAGAATGATTAGAGTTTTCCAAGCTGCCGTACCTTCATAATCACCATTAGACTCATCTAACTCTTTCTAAATTCTTTGCACTGTCCTCAGATTGACACCCAAACACTCAAATGTTTGTACTGGAGCTTCCAGTGCAAATGCCAATACAGTATGCAGTTTCCAAATTTCTGGTGAAATGAATTGTGTCATGGTGATCTTTTTCTGACAGATGGTGCCCAACTGACCCAAATATACTGTGCAGTCGACATAATCAAAAACAAACAATGCACATGCATGAAATTAAAAATATAAAATGGTGACAATTTCCCCCATCACACCCTGTGTGTGTGTGTGTGTGTTGCATACAAATCTATTTCTTTGTGCCTTATTCTAGTCACAATGTTAGTATTTCCTCCTCTTAACAGTTTATTCTGACACTGTGACAATGATAGTTGATAGACAAAATCTACCCATTCAACACAGCTTAACCTCTTGTAATTGCTGACAGAGTCAGAAAAGTAGTTGATAATTTTACGATAAATATTATCAGTTTTTTAAAATGATCAGATTAAACAGATTATTATTATTATCATTATTATGCTGCACATTGATAGTCAATGGAAATTATGTTCTCAAGGCATGCTGTCAAAAAGACTCCTCACAAATCAAGAAGTTTTTGGAAAATCCTCGCAGAGTAAATGATAGTAGTTTTCTGAAGGTCTACAATCTTGGTTTCAATTTTAATTCTCCCTAACCACTTTTCAGTTTTTATTATTATTATTATTTGAGGATGAAATGGAACTAATGTCTTTAATTTAATTACAAAATTAAATTCGGGGCTTTTAGCTTCCATTTTTGAAACATGGTTAGAACTGTGTAGCGAAAAAAAACATATTTTAAATCAATTAATTTATAATATATATATATATATATAAAAGTTTTTTTTTTCCACAATATCTTTAAAAGTGAAAGTATTACAAAACAGAAAAGGTATACACTGTTAAAGTAACCTATAAATTTCATCCAAGACATGACATTGACCAAAACATTTATTTGGGCAATTAAAATTTTTGTGGTACCTGACTTTGCTTTGCTCTCCAAATTATCTTTTTAAAAGAGTTTAATTTTGCATAACACAATAACCCCTGCCCCACCTATAAAAAAAAAAGGGAGTGCATGAAGTTTGCATGGAATCAAATCTTTGTCCAGTGGAAAGAATTTCTGTCAACAAAGGCAATTTGAGAGTCTCATGAAAAAAAAAAAAAAAAAAAAAAGTAACACTCTCCATAGGATTTGGTTAATGACTAGTCAGAGTGTCAGTTGCTACGGAGTTGAAAATGAGTTGCAGCCCGATGGTTAATGAAATTTACTTTTTTCAAGTACCTAAAAATAGGCAATCATTTTCCATGAAAGTTTTATCTATAATTACAATAGTAAAAATACAAAATTGATTTTATAATTACAAGACTGATATAAATTAATGTTATATTACATAATAAATATAATTAAAACAAAAATATAAAAGATAGAATTATTTTTTAAACACCTGGCATTTTCTTATTTCCAGCAGCAACAAACAACTCAGCAGCAGCCACTAACAACCCATTATTATTATTACTCGTTTTCCCATTTATTCCTGCTTGAGCAGAAAACCTGTCTTTAGTCCACTTGACTAGCTTGATGTAGGGGAAGCATTGGGAAAATTAGGCTAATAGCCTAGATGCACTAACAAGTACAATATGACCTTCAGTTGGACAAGTGCTGTTTACTTTAACAAAAGACAAACCCTGTTGTTGCTGTTGTTGTTGTCATTTTGGTAGGAAAATAATAGAAGAGATACAAGTGAGACCAGTTTATGAAGAGAAAGAATTGGGTCTTCCTGAAATGGAAGAGAAAAAAAAATTTATCACCATCATCATCAATAATGAAATGTAGTCATTGTTGACGGTTGAAGAACATTTAATAACAGGTGGGCTGTCATGGCTGAAGGTTCATCACCAGTCAAGGACTTTCAGTAACACACATAACTTAAAAGAAATAAATCTCAGACAATTTAAAGCCATACACAGCAATGTCATTTCAAAATGTATTTTATAATAAAACTTATTTACAGAGGACAAAAGAGAAAAAAAAAATCTCTTAATGAAAATGCTTTCTTTATAACCTTTCTTAACAACCTGAATGTTAGGTTTGATTTTGAAACTAGCTGAACTGTCACTGCAAAACTTAAATGTTGTAGAATTCATGTTATGCAATAATTTTGCAAAGGCACTTAGCTTTGGAATTAAAAAAAATTTTTTCTAGGTTAGAAAAACACAATTACAAAGCAAAAACGAGAATGAAAATCTATCTACTTTTTCCAACAGAGATTAACCTATATATAAAATCCAAAAAGAGGATTAGAATTTCTTTTATCTTAATTCATCTCCATCTGGAAAGGGAACATTGACATTGATCACTTCTGAAATCTTAATGATCAATGGTTTTAAAGTAGATAGCTTGCCTATTTTCTTCTCTATCAACAAAATGTGCTACTTGTGACAAAAGACAGAGCCGGTTTAACATTAGAAATCTTAGGACATTTACTTAAGATTCTACCTCTCACTACTTCAGAAAGTCTAAACTATAATGTTAAAGAAGGTGCTGGCCAGTTTGGTGATTAAGAGCTCTTTAGCCACATCCATCAGATACAAGACGTGATTTTTAATAGTTGAAGTGTGCATTGAAAAGTTCAGTCAGGAAAGATATGAAACTTGAAACTAACTGGATCTAACTAACGCCTTTATCCACTGTGCCAGTGAATAAAGGCATTAGTTAGATCAAGTGACAGGACCCAAAAAGTGTGAGTTCAATACCCAGTTAAGGCAGTGTAGAACTTGGAGAGGAGAATTAACAGGAGATAATTGATAACTGACATCCATTAAACATGGCACATGGAACTAGAACAGTTTACCCCA